TTCATGGTATCTTTGATTGACATTTACCATCAAAGCTAGCCACTGTTACTGTTAGCTAGCACTGTTAGCTAGCTGGCGATAGCCATTGAGATGTCATCGGAATCATTGCGCACCATCCTACATGAGAAGCTCGGTTTCAAGAAGGTTTGAGCATTCTAGGTACCCCATCAGCTCTGTTAGGAACAGAAAGCAGTTTCAGAAAACGGGTAGATGTTCCAGGGCAGTTTATGAGATCATCAGTAGCAATGAGATCTATGTGTGCGGCTTGGACCCAGAAATTCTGATGTGAACGCAATGTAACAAAGCAGCTTGTGAATGTGGTCATGGCAGAAACTGGTAATGTGGTACTGTACTGCTGTTGCACGTTCACGGGAGACTGGTACGCCACCCAATTTCTTCCGAAAGTACTGGAACGTTTGGTCAGTTGTCGTCCAAGGACTCGAGCACGAGGAAACTTCCTGCATGAAAACGCACTTGCACACAGGCCCCATATCGTCGGAAATTTTCCGGCTAGCAAACACATACAGGAGGCTATTCATCCAACCTTAGGTCTAGATCTGGTTTCGTGTGACATGTTTGTGTTCACGAGTATCAAGCACATGATACGTGGAATCCGATACGAGTCACCGACTGCTGCAGTGGAGGCCTTCATAGAACTGGGCGAAGGGTTACTCGCTTCGGCATTTTCCAGCTGGTTTATCAAATGGAACTGTACAAGAAAACTGGTGGAAAATAATTCGGAATATTGTAGTGCGTATTCTTGAATAATCAATCAAATGTTTTGTGCATCCGGAAACGTTTTGATCAACCCTCGTACGTATTACACATTGGAACCCCCCCCCTTCCAACTATGCTCCCAGAAGCGTCTTATCCAGGCTCTCCAACTCCCCTTGGGTCCACGACCTCACTCCTCTTTAGATGATATGCACACATACACAAAGTGATCGACTCTCCATATTTTAATGTCATCCTCCCAACCCCCAGGTGTTATTCTCTCATAATTGTAACGCTATGATTATGAATTATTGAAAGCAATGGAAATTGTGTTCTAATCACCTATAGACCTGTACCTGGAATGTAATTTTGGTTTGATCGCTCTCATATGGAAATTTGGCAACCCAATTTTTTTCATGAACAAACGTGATCGTGAACTTGAATCACAGCCTCGTCATACACTATTCCCAACCAATAGTAAACTCAACTCGGGAGACTAAATCCGATTTCAGCTTTCACTACTGATTATTTGCAAGTAGTATAAATCTTGTTATAAAAACAAGAATAATTACAAAAATAAATGGCTCATTGGTTTTGCGGATACATCCGGGTGCAATTGTGTGAAGCGATGTTGTGCATTATCGACTGTAGAATTGCGCAAATGTTACACAGAACACGGATTGCCTTCTTATAAATTAGAAAGTTTCCAGTTATGAAACTCTGTTCCCTGAATCGGTTAATTTGTCAAACCTCAACTGTGGGTCAACTGTGGATCCCCAGTTGGGTCGATGGATTCGCACTGCTGACGAGACCCAACCGGGTCGAAAAAGCTGCCTAGTGCTTCCTAGCTTTTTAGTTCACGCTTCATTTCCTATAGACACGAAGAATTCACTTTTCAAAAACAATTTTATTTCAAAAAAATTGTTTCCTCAAAACAGAAAGAAGACAAACGTCGCGAGATGTTAACATATCGTTTAATCTTCTCAGTCGCTGACTTCAAACAAACAGGCACATATGTAGTACATCGGATGAATCAACTTTGGCGAACAAACGTGTACAAGCATACAATTATTACTGAATTTAGAAGTAGAAGGTCAGCTCCACGGTAAGTGGATTGCTTGCATCAAAAACTTCTGTGCGCACAGGGTCGGGTGATGTAATCGAACAAGCAGTGCTTCACTAATCGCCAAAAGTTTAGCATTTCAATTACATAATAGTGGTTTGAAAGACGAGTTGGGGTCATTTGTGTGTCTTGTTGCCATGAGATCTTCCGCAACAGATGATCCTGGATTTCTTGCAATCACTTGGCCATCATTTGTCGGCTGCGTCATCGATTTCACCAACCACTTCGGAATATGTTCAGCCATCCGTTGTGACAACTGACGGTTTGTTCTGCCTATGTATGCATCAACGCAACTGCAGGTGAACTGGTATACAATGTGTGAGACGGAACTGGTTTGCCAGCCATGTTCATCTTTGTCCAAATCGATTCTACGAGTGGAGGCGATGAGTCTGAGTTGAGCAGCTGGGAATGTACGGTCTAGAGCTGACCTCAACTTCTGGCGCACATCATTGTAAATGTGATCACCATTGAACGCAAGCTTGATGTAGATGGCCCTTTTATCGACGGTTTGGGACGGGTTACCTTTTGGAATTAGTCTAATGTGAATATCTATAAACCTTTCTGGGTAACGATTGTTTAGCAATGTTCTCCTTAGGAAATCTTCTTCTTCCTTCAGTATGTCTGGAGGATAAATGTTCTCGCCCGATGAAATAGAGTTCTCACAAGCCCACGTTTGTAAGTCATGGGGAAAAGCTGGAAAAGTGCAGATATTGACCACTCCATGTCGCTTTTCGGTGGACTGAGCGTTGTAGTGTCCCATTTATCCGTCTTGTAACTTTTACGTCAAGAAAAGCTAAAGTGTTCTTGGGTTCCGTTTCAGGAGATACAGAGAGATGTGGATGGACTAAGTTAAATTGTTTTAAAAGTGTATTAAAATGTTCAGCATCTGTAAGAATGAAAATATCGTCCACGTAACGTTTGTACAGGGTGGACTTAGATAAAGGGAACTCCATGCTTCAAACATTGCTTCCTGCTGACCGCAGAAAACCCGTTAGGAGAGGACAGAATATGTGATTACTAAGATGATTATTGTTGTCGTTAAAATGGCAATATTATTGACGCAGTCTCAGGAAACATGCAGAGTTGATGGACTCACAGAAGCTAGAAACACCGGAATCTTTCCCAATAAAACATTTCTTACCGGTGGATTCTGATTAAACCGGTTGTATGGTCGTTTGTTATGCTGCGGTACAATAAAAGTGCTTTAGATGAAAGGAGGTTGTTGCTAGGTACGTCATCTTCCAAAAACATTTCTGCTTACCCACGAACCGGGGTATTACAGGAACAAGAGCCATTATGACGTTTTCCGAAGCCCTTAAATTTAAAGTTCTTGCTAAGAAAATTGCGTGTTTTACACGCGATGATTGTGAGCTTCCACCTCTGACATTTTCATTGATGAGGTACTTAATTCCAATTATTCATAGTTACCTTGTTTAACCGCCGAAAACTCTTCTACATCGGTCTCTAAAATAGGTGATGCGTTTTTGTGAACGCATTCAATGATGTATAGGCCGTAGCTTCATTTTTCAATAATATCTAACCCGCATCCTATTTATTATGCTTGAATCGTTTTTCAGTTTTCTTAGAAGAATTTCACCCAGGATGTTCCATCACCATTAGTCTCTTCTTTTCATCTCCCAACGAGTTGTGTATGAAAGTCTTTTATTGACGCTTTCGTGTAAATGAAGGATCCGCCCCAAGTCCAGTTCACTCTTACTCATCTCTCCAGTACAAGGTAAATGAACACAACTGCAGGAGTGTTAGTTTTATTAATGGTAGTAGTAGTAGTAGTAGTAGTAGTAGTAGTAGTAGTAGTAGTAGTGGTAGTAGTATAGTGGCGGTAGTAGTGCTTTAATTCCACACGGCTGAGCCTAGTTGTGGATAGTTCCATATCCCAGATTACAGTTGAAATATCATATATGTCATTTGAAACATGCCATCGCAATTGCCGGAAGCATACCGAATAATGAATGGAGCACTCCGAAGTTATTCTTTGGGGCACAGAAATTCGCCCTCAATTGAAAGAAACCATCAATCGCCCTATTTTGTAAACCACTCACATACCACCTCACAACTCACCTTCCCCCGGCGAAAATGAACTCTGCATTCATCGAGCAATGACATCCTTTTTCCGAAAATTTGGAATAAGCTGTTTCCGGTTGAGAATTTCGGTTAGTTTATTGCACGATATTTGAAGATCTGACCGAGAGTTTGACTTGCGACGACTCTGTGGTGCACGGATTTTGTCCTCGTGTCATCTATCGAGTTTACTTTGATACGCACACCTGCTGTCGCTCATCTTCCGAAACATATTCACTGGAATCTTCTTTGTCCATATTCCACATGAAATTCGCCATCTAGGAAGTAACTTCGCTGATTCAGGGTCGCTGACACAATCTCCAATATGGTGCTTGTACTCTGCTTCCAGCATTTTCAGAAGTGCCCTTGATATCCGTTTCGCCGGCATTCTTAACTTCATCGCTTTGTTGGGCAGTCCGGCAAACATTTGCTTTTCCCTCGTGTTCTCAATGGGGATAATCGATTTGCTGCGCTGTCATCTTGTGGCTTATGTTCGTCAACTGTCTTCCCTGCCTTATTCGGAGTTTCTACTAACGCAGTTGACTGAGATTCCTCCAGATAAACGGCAACACACGTGTCAAACCAGTATGGCACTTTCTGATTCCCCATCTCCATATTGTTCTAGACTGAACAACGATTGGCCATTCCGAAGTAGACCTTAACTTGGGGCAACGATTTGACCGAAATCAGGGTTTCTCTCACGAACCATTTGCGCTATTTGTATGCAATTTTTCTGCAAGCATTCTGGCTCTTCGCGCTCCTAAATACCCTTCTTTACAGCTCTCTGATAGTGATCGGTTCAGATGTCCGCCATCTGCCTCGTTAGTTCTATGAGAGTTCCTAGATTTTTTGTAAGCCTGCGTCTATGGCCTTAGGCTTGCTGGACAAGAGTGAATTTCTTCCAAGTAAACTCCCTCAGGATATCCACCAGTTTGAATACATCCGTGGTCTTTCCATGTCAATTATCTAGGACGTCTGACGCAAATCTTCCGGTAGACTCTCCGTGAAACGATCGAACGGTAATTGTGAACGTTCAGAGTGCTCGATTCAACATCGCGCGCAGAGCCCCGGCATGCGACACTAGATACACGCCAAGTGCAAGCTGCGCCGTGCCGAAGCTCCGCAACGCCTGCTGGCGGTCGGCCAGGGTGTCGAAACCAGCAATCAGGGCATCATTTGCGGCGGTCCACTCTATCTACTTTGGGCCTCTTCACGCCGCCTGCGATACCGCCCACCACCGACTCTTGAGAAGCGTTCGGAGGGCAATCAACTTACCCCGGTTCGACCGTATCCTTACCAGCTCCGTGACTTCCTCAAACACCTCCAGGAACATCCGCGCGTCTCCAACTTAGAAGGCTTTAGGCTACGGAACCTTCATCCTGATCCTGGCGACGGCACCAGTTTTTCTAATTTCTCAACGCGGTGTCTGGTCGAGGATAGTTCTTTATTGCAGATTACAGTTGTAATATCGATAATTTGGCATACATATAACAGATATATCATTCGAAACATGCCGTCGCAAATTCCGGCAGAGAACCGTTGTTATTCGCCCTCAGTGGTCTTGTTAAGTTTTCATCATCGAAGGAAACTTACAATCATACCTCCAGCCATACTAATCACAAATGTGGGTAGTCTCACAACAGTAGTAGTAGTGGCGGTAGTGCTAGTAGTAGAACCGCTTTTAACATAAACTCTCTCTACGTCCCTTCCTTCCCTGTTGTAATCGCACCGGGAGGGGTAATTTTGACTGATCAGTTGTGCTTGATTTGCTAAAAGCTAAATGCAAACACAAGCACAAAATTTCCGCTAGGACTGAAAACTGAGCGATTCGACCACCATATGTTGATCAATGATTTTTTTCAATGAAAAATATAATCTTTTTCTGAGATTCAGATATTTTTCTGCGTAAAAGCCACAAATACACTGTCTTCTTTGTGGTCCTTTGATGCTCCGGAATGAATCACAAGCCGAAGTACCTTTGTTTTTCACTATACTCTCCCATTTGTCAACCCACGTTCACTTCGCCTGAAATACCCCTGACGTCTTCCAACTAAGTCAAATCCCTGCGATATTCCGAACTGTTCAAGCCTAAAATTAAGTGACCTGAATATTACCCTCCTAATTATGGGCACTTACCGTTTACACTAAGCACTTCTCGCTTGACAGCCCAAATATATCTAATCAGCCTTTATAACGGATGCTTCCACTCATTGATGGCAAGCCTCGTATTGTGTTTATAAATGCTTTCAACGCCACATTTATTTGATTCAGGACGAAGACAAATCCATGCTAGCACTCACCCTGGTTATGACATTTCTTTCTCAGTCCAATGATCCTACCGGATTCAGAGGCCTAAAAGAAGTGACATAGGTTGCTTATACATATCACACAACTGACAGCCATGTACTCGTTATTTGTTCTCCCGAATTATGTTGTAACACGAAGGTCACCAAATTGTCACCCTTTGCTCTACATCTCTATGTTGTGTCTCTCAAGCTAAGAGCCGTGCGCATCATGCGTAATGGTAAGTTACGGAAGAGCACTGGAATGCATAACCCAAATAAAGGACAACAATAACATTTGATACTCGCCATACCGATGTGACTATTTACCCACGAGACTGGAGAGGGGTTAAACGCGGGGAGCTATCTGATCAAGGAGGGCAGTAATCCTACACTGAACACTAATCGTTCCTTCAGAAGTGCTTCCCTGATGGGTTCCACTCAAACGTAATTAGTTCAATGAACACAGTGTGGAAATTCTGATGACGAGTGCCATCATTGGGCTTGGCTGCACAAAAGGGCTCTGAATTTCTACATCGTTGAGCTAGTTGAAGACGCTCAAAGTATTAGGTTTTTGAATAAGTTACATTAAGCTACTTGTTCTACAAAGACTCTTAATGTTTAGCGAAGTGTTATATGCCAATAGAAAGCTCGTGCTATGCTCTAGGGTATTGAATTAATCGTTTTTGCTTATGATGTATTTTGTCTTTTTTGGCACCGTCAAATGGATTGTCTAGTCGACAGAAATCACACTTTAGATACCTTTTCGCCTTTAATGGAGGCCAGAAGGCGAATGAGGAAGCTACCAGAGATATTTTTGCTCTGTATGGAGAGAACGCTGCAGCTGAGAGAACTGCTTGGGATTGGTTTCCAGGTTCAGACACGAAAATTTGTACCTCAATGACGCTCCTTGTGCCGGAAGACCAGTCGAAATGGACGAGAAGCAACTCAGGGATCTTTTGAAGGAAGATGGCCGCCAGACATGCAGAGAATTGGGTGAAAAGATGATTTGTGATTTTGCGACAACTTCACGCCACCTTCGGTCGATGGGTTTTACTCAAAAGCTCGGAGTTTGAGTCCCGCACGAACTCACCCAAAAGCAGAAGGATAAGCGACTTTCCATTGCTGGTCAAAATCTCCCTCGATACCAGGGAACTCATGACCACATGCAACGTTTCTTATACATAATCGCCATTGGAGACTAGGAACGGTGTCTCTATGTGAGTACGAAGCAAAGGAAGAAGTGGGTGAGTCCTGGAGAGAAGCCTAAGCGTAGGATCAAAAAAGACCTGCACCCAATGAAGACAATGATTGGCTTATGGTGAGATTGGGAAGGTCTAATCCACTGGGAAATGCTTGGAAAGAACATGAAAATAGAGCAGAATCTCCATAAAGCCCAGTTCCATCGTGTCAATGAGGCAATTCAACAAAAATGTTTAAAAAACGGTGGGACCTTATGCGACAACCCAATACTTGTATCCGTTCAAGATTGTTTTATCCTGTTCAACTAGATACCTGACACCGCACTCGATAGAAGACAATGTCCCACTGTTTGTCACCTCGCTCCCGTCGCTGAAGGATCAGATTGTGTATTTGTCTATCTTTTCTACGGTACGGAAAGGAACTTTTGAAGGAAATTAGAAAGCTTTTGGCGGATCCAGCATGCAGGGTTTGTATTTCACTTTTGAGAAGTCCGAAATCTAAAGAATAGCTTAGGAGTGACTATAAGTTTCGAAAAATTCAGATTAAAGTTTACTACGGTTGAATGCACAAATATGGAGCCCGTTCCGTTAGGACATATTCATAAAGTAATCACTGCTGAAAACATGGGATTCTCCAGGGGTTCTCTCAGTGGTAATTTATGAGAATATTTCATATGGGTACAAGTGGCTTGAAGTGAGAAGTATCGCATGTAACGTACAGCATGAAGTCTTGGGACACGGTGCAGTCAATCTGGCAGACTCTTTTTAAAGCACTGGATGTGTTTCTCCAAGAAATACATTTTTGTGAATTAAACTGTCGGTAAATGACTGCGGAGTTTAGATTACTCTACTGTTTAGTAGACCGAAACTATAGGCCCTCGGTTTCGGTGTTCTTGAGACGATCAAACCTGAAATCCTTGCTTTTCATTTGTATTAGCCTCTGAATTTAGTCTTTTGAGAACTTACCGCATACTGACAACTGCAATTCAAATACACCTAATTTCAACTGGATCCCTGAGAGTGAACACACGCACCGCGGAATGAATCTGCAGTTAATCGTTCTAACAGATGGCTCATTGATTGTTCAAGTTAATTACCTTTTATATTTGGAACGTTTTTTAATATACTCCAGTTTGGAAAAGGCGAATAACAATAGACTTGGATACTACCGCTATCTCTATATATCATCCTCCTCACCATATGAGCAACGTGATCTATCGATGATGTGATCGTTTCAAATCTGGCTCCTTAGTCAGCTTACCACTTAACATACAACTAATCAACAGTTGATTGATCACCAGTATCATTTGCCACTGATTAAGCACATATATAAGCATAATCACGGATAGAAATAAACGTGAAAAAATTTTATCATCATCTCGACTATATTCTAAACATTACAAACGGATTTCTGCACACACCGTGACCAGGATAGGGAAATTTTGATGTACTATGCATCAATGGTAGGAAGCGGTAAATTGAATTAAATTATTTCTTAGTAACTTGTATTTAGGCTAATGAGGATTATCGGGAATGCAAAACACGTAAAGCATGAACAGAGCAAATTGAAAGCAACCGCCACTGTAGCAACCTGGTTGGGTTCCATAAGCACTACGAATTTATCGGTAACCAATTGTAACCAATCAGATCAAAGCGGCTATGCAATGCCCATCTCCTTTTAATTTCATCCTTTGTCAGCTTTGAACACGACTGAATTGTTGATTCAAATTTTCCACTAGACTCTTTTTGCTATCCACCAAAATTTTTGGGAGGAAACTTGAGATTAACTGTCTTACCGATAAATGTCAACGATCTGGATTCCCCGAATGACATTTTCAGTGAATGACGGTACAGCGCGTAGAGCTGACACACATATCTCTCATTATATTAACTCCCAAAACACTGGCCCTCGCAAACATGAACAGTAACAGAAAGGCTATTTCTTACTTGAACCAATTAATAACAAATAAATTTATCAAATACCCATATATCGTGTTTATGATACCTAAGTATTTTGTGGATACATGAAAATAAGGCACAGAAATCGATTCGAAAGAAAACAAATATTACTATCGTTGTATCAGCGTCAACATTGGATATTCAAGCTCTGTGGTGAAATGCCACTTCGAAATAACTTGAATTATAGCTTGAAATGAAACATCTTTTGTCCATCAACATGAGGAAAATAAAATGTGGGTGACTGCTTTTTATCTTGTCCGGCGCGAGCGCAGAATATAAAGGTACACGGAGTTATTTGTAGTCTCCGCTGTCCCACACAAGCACAGACTTGGCATTTGAACTCGCCTCTCAATACCTAGTATTACATGACTTGTAGATAGCAATGATTGTAAAAACAACTACGGTTCGTGAAATACCACGAGATCTTGGGCAGAGTACTATCGAGTGTTAGGGTACTTCAACGAGGTGGCACAGCCAGTAAATTAAAATGGAGTGTGAATGTCTAATAAACCCGTGACAACCAGATGTGATGTATTTGTTCGTGTTGTTCTCCTTTTGTACTGGTTCAGTTTGAGCTTTTGAAACATGAACACCCCAGTTTTGCTTCCTAATCACGTGATTCACGGATAAACCGGCAAGTGAAATGTTTCAGGACGAAAATGGACGAAGCCAGATATCGGTAGCAGTGTAAAGTTAATCAATTTCTCCGACCGCCAGTGATCGTACCACACTTCTAGAGTCGATAGGCTACATCTAGCTCTATATTGGTGCCTCAAATTGAAACGCCAGAATATCGATAAATTGACAGGAGGCTCAGAACAAGTATAGGTTGCATT